CACACATGGCAAGGAACTGAGGGCAGACTCCAATCTAAAAACAGCCAGAAACTGAGGACCAGAGTCCAGCAGCTCAAAGGAACTGAATCTTGCTAACAACCTTGTAAGTAAGCTTGGAAGTAGATCCTTCCCCAGATGAGCTTTCAGATGAGACCCAGCCCTAGCTCATAAATTGACTGTAGCTTCATGAGAAACTGTAAACCAGAGGACCTGGCTAAGCCATGTCTGAATTCCTGATCCACAGAAACTATGAGATAATAAGTATGTATTGTTTTAAGTCAACAATTTTGTAGTAATTTGTTATGCAGAAATAGTTAACTAAATGCAATCACATTCCTAAGATGCTGGGACTTGCCTGACTAAATGCAGAACACACACTATCAGTCACTTTCCTGCTCGCTCTGAATTTACATTTACCTCCTTTAGGAAGTTTTTCTTAACTACCCTAGATATAATGAACTCGGTTTGTGTCCTTTATCACCGTTAATGTCTTATTTAAGCACTTTCCATATTGAATTGTAATTTTCTGTTTACTTATCTCTCATTAGACAGTGAACACTTCAGGGACAGGGACTGATTCAATCTCTGTAACGCTGGTACCTAGCCCAGACCTGACACTCAGGTTCTTTGGAAATATTTATTGAGTTAGTGAATAATCAATTGCTTTGTGAGCCAATGTAAACACATCAACAATTCAATTCTAAAGATATTTATTGATGTCTGTGATATGGCAGCTGCTGGGTCAGGTGCCAGGGATTCGAACTTAAACAAATCAGTATTTCCTACTTTAAAGTTGCCAGAGCCCCGAAGAGGAGACAGGCACGCAAAAACCTGACAACACAGAACAGTAAGCAATATCAGAGAGGTGTGAGGTTGAACCACATAACATGGCTATTCGTGTAGGTAAGAAACAACCGAACAAGGATAATGTCCTATGATTCAACCTATTGAAGATTCTGCTGTCAGAACACAAGGTAGAATAGTTAGTGAATCTGATATGGTCTTGAGCTATAAGGGTTTTAATTCTAAGGCTTGTAAAAATGACAAAGACACTGAAATCCTTAGCAGATGGTAGAGGATAACCTGGACAGATAAGCCAGAGCCGGTAATCCAGGCACGGGTTGTCTGGGTCATTTCCCACAGGCTGCAAGCACAGTGCCAGCTGGGGCTGCAGTCCTCCTGAGGTTTCACTGGGGCAGGATGCACTTCCAAGCCTACCCACATGGCTGTTGGCAGGATTCAGTTCTCACAGGCTGTTGGACTGAGGACCTCTGTTCCTTGATGGCTTTTGGATGAAGGCCACCCCCGTCTTTGCCATGTGGGTCTCTCCATAGGGCAGCTCACATCATGGCAGCTGAATTCCATTAGAGAAACAAGTGAGAAAACAGACGGGAAGTCACAGTCCTTTATGACCTAATTTTGGCAATAACATCTTGTCACCTTTGCAGTGTTCTATTTGTTAAGTTTTGAAGCATGTCAAGTCACATGGAATGTAGGTCCAGCCACAGACAAGGGGAGGGCATTTCACGGGGGCATGGATATCACATTTGGGTATTATTGGAAGCCATCTCAGACATTCCCTGCCACAGCAAGCAATGTCCACACTCAGGGACTTTTGTCTTCATGGTGAGAATCTCCTGTTCCCTGAGTTTTGCTAGTCTCCTGCTAGACCATAGGAAATGTTCTGGTAAGCAGGGAAGGGGACAGGACAGAAGGATTACAGTCAGAAGAACAATCACGGATTAATACCCAGTTGTGGCTCAGAGTTATATCATGACAGAAGGGAAAGAAACTCCAAGGAGCATTAAGTCAGTACCCCTTCTGCCTTCCCAACCCATTTACAGATGAGGGAAGGAAAAGCCCTGGATGTCCTATTGAAGTCAGCACTTTTGTAATCATAAGACAGCAGTGAATTAGGATGCGGTTTCTGTCATGTGAACTGTGTCATGATGCGCACCATTGAGTTATGCTTCTCAAGGGGCTCAGGTCTGACTATTCCTGGGCGCACATGCTCAGCTCTGGGCCCCCAGTTTTAAAAGACACTCTGGGAATTACCTGAAGAGATCCAGCCAGCATTTAGAGAAGCCTGGACTCCACATAGGAAGAGGAGCAGTGAGAAGGAGTGAGGTCTCTTACATGTGGAAGAAGAGGCTACAAGGGAATATGGAAACCATTCTGATCAGTCTGGGAACAAGTGGACTTTCTCCGTCTAGCTCCAGGGGACAGAACTTGGGAGAGAGCAGAAGCTGTCGGGGCAGTGGGGGCTGATTTCAAGGCCTCTCTCATTGGAGGTGTGTGAACTGAGTGAGGGCTATGTCGAGTGATGTTGGTGCTTTCTTCATTATGTAAGAGAACCCTAACTCTAGCGAGCTTCAGCAGAAATGCCTCCCACAAATGAACCGAGGGAGAACAGAGACACTGGGAACGGCCTCAGTATTGCCCACTCGTTTCTCTTCTCTGACCCTGTGTACAAACCAGCTTTGTTATGAGGTGAGATTCAGGAATATCGACAGATATGGACCCACATGTTAATAGTCTTATGGTCATGTAGGAAAGCTGTCTCTAAGCTTCTGTCCAAAAATCCAAAATTTAACTAAATGTCTGCCATATGCAAGACACAGGCCAAGACATTGAGGATGCTTCAGTGAGCAAAACAAACATCCGTGTCCACGGGGAAGTGACAGTCTCGAGGAATTGGCCTAGGGAGATTTGGATACCCAGCCCATCTTCAGGTACCTCTCCAATCCATGCTTTGCACCCTGGAAGCCTCTGGCCTTGTACCTGCCTCTCTTCGCTCAAAAACCTGCGTGGCTGTACTTTCCTAGAGCGTCTCATTCAAAATCCCGAATATGGTAGTCAGGGCCTCTGCAACTGGGCTCCTCCACTTTCTCTATCATGCACTTGTCTAAAAATAGAAAGGAAAAGGGGGTCTTTGTGGCTCCCCAGGCATGTGCTGCACCTTTGTACCTCTATTCTTTATCAGCTTGTTCTTTTAGCCTAGACGCTCCTGGAAAGTTTACCTTTCTCTTAAGCTCTATCTCAAATACTCATTAAGACACTCCTCTATTAAGCCTTTCCCAATTTCTCTGCGTCTTCTGTCATTCTTTTCCTCCCCTTCCCTGTCTGTACACAGTTTATTTCCCCTGCCAAGCTCTGACTCATTTTGTGTGTTCTGTAATACATAGTGGGGCTAGGCTCATCATGTCCCTGCCATTGCTCATGCCGTTCTCTGAGCAGCGTCAGCCCTTCTCTTCCGTTCCTGGGCTCATCGTGTCCCTGCCATTGCTCATGCCGTTCTCTGAGCAGCGTCAGCCCTTCTCTTCTGTTCCTGGGCTCATGATGTCCCTACCATTGCTCATGCCGTTCTCTGAGCAGCGTCAGCCCTTCTCTTTGGTTCCTACTTGCAGAAAGGCAGCTCCACCTTCGCCTTCCATTTCCTCATGCTCCTCCTCCCCATGCAGCATTCAGTCCTCTACAGGTGAAATTATATATCTGAGCACATCTTCCTTTGTCACTGAATGTTCTGAGTACAACTAATCTTCCTGTCGATTATAAGCTATTTGAGGGTAGGAGCCTCCTCTTTTCATTAAAAAAAAAACTCCGAAGTGTGAAGCCCAGTTCTTTGCACATGTCACTCAGTTAATGAAATGCGTATTGGCTTGACTGCAATTAGGTTGAATGTAAAATCCCTAAGACCTGTGCTTTCTGTGGGTCGTGGGTCCAATGTGAATACTTAGAGAGTATTGAATCACACTGACATAATACAGATAATTTTGTTTGTTTTAAAAATGTATTTTCTTTTTTTTTATTAAGACAGAGTCTCACTCTTGCCCAGGCTGCAGTGCAGTGGCACGATCTCGGCTCACTGCAACCTCCTTCTCCCAGGTTCAAGACGTTCTCATGCCTCAGCCTTCTGAGTGGCTGGAACTACAGGTGTGTGTCACCAGGCCTGGCTAAGTTTTGTATTTTTAGTAGAGACAAGGTTTTGCCGTGTTGGCCAGGCTGGTCTCAAACTTCTGGCCTCAAGTGATCTGCCTCCCTCAGCCTCCCAAAGTGCTGGGATTACGGGGATTGCGCCCAGCCTGGAAATGTGTTTTCATGTGTAAAGAGTTCATATGCAACAAAGATCATTTGCCTTGTGCTGTTTTTGCTGAAGGTCTAGCTAGCTGATGCAACAGGAAGGTGAGGGCACAGCACAGGTGCTGGCTTTGTGAGAGATGACTGAGGAGCTGAGGGAAGCATGAAACTGAGACTATGCCGAGATGTCCTTGATCCTGTGACTGAGTTCGGAGCCTTTCCTCTGACTCTTTCAGTCAAGCAATATGGTCTATGAAAGGCTGTTAGACTGGCCAAGCTTTCTGGGTGGCCCTGAGCTAAAGCAGTGAGTGAGCCTCCCATCCATTCATCCTGCAAATAGTTATTGAACTCAGGGTCAACCACTGTGCTAGATCCTGGGGGTGCAGTGGTGTTATGGGTTGAATTGTGTCTCCCTTAAAAATATATGTTGGAGTTTTAGGCCCTAGTCCCTCAGAATGTGACTGTATTTGGAGATGGGGTTCCCTACAGAGAGAATTTAAATAACCAAAAGTGTCTATTCCAGGGAGTCTTACACTGGCAGACAAGTGTGAGGCAGATTTAATCTGGGTATTTTTTGTTTCTTTCTCTTGCGATTCCCTACCTAGTTCTCAAGTAATTGCCTGACAGGCAAAGGGGCTGTAATGCCTCCTTTATGTGGGCCTGACCTTTCTTTAAAAAACTGATCATGCAAGTATTAACTTTAAGACCTTTAACATTTAAAGCAAAATAAAAGTTATTCAGGATTTTCACATTCGGAAGGAGGAATAATTGTGTGAAGAAGCTGAACCTGGAGGTGAAGTCAGCAGTTGGCAACCCAAGAGTATATTGTCCTCCTCCCCGGGGACAGTACTCGGCACCCACATGTTGCAGAGCAGAAGCCATTCTTTTAGGTTTCAGAAGCCATCTTGGTTATCTAGTTGAAAAATCACAGTGTTGAGAGCTGATTCAGTTGGCATATGAGTCATCTTATATTCAGCCTTTTAAAACTCAACACCCGAAATCTTGGATGCTCAAATTTCAGCTGGATTGACCTTCAGAATCTGGGAAACGTGTCAGCTGGTGTTAGCAAGCCAAAAGGCTCACTTTCATTGTGGTTTCCTGCATGGTCCTCAGAATGGGCAGAGCTTAGAGGCACAGACGGCCTCTGCCGTGCGGGCCTGGGTCATTGAGATCTGATCTGTCGCTTACAGTGGGTTGTCTAGACGTAGGTGTCATTCTGGATTGCCTCCAAGGTCATGCAGAGCAAGGGCGGCCAAGCAGGAACAAACCAGACACCCTCATTCTGAGGCCGGAAGAGCTCAGCCTGACCTGCGAGGTGGGCGGGGAAGCCCCGACTCCCAGTCTTTTGCTTTTCTACACCCAGAACCTTCTGCTCTGCCAAGTTTGCCTGACTTTGCTGCTTTATTTCCGTCCACAGCAGTAACAGCCATCCTTTCCCCTCGTAACCTTCTGTTTGTGGGTTCTCACCAACCTTGAAGGCCTGGAACCTTGTCTATGTTTGAACTCATTTTTACACATTCTGGTTCAGATTATCTGAGTGACTCCCTGATGCAAAACCTATATCACACTGAGAAACGTTTCTATTTTGAGGGGCCAAATGAGGTACCCCATTATTTATTCTAGCCAACCCTGTCCTGTGTGACCTCTGATGATTAAGGGTCATGAGTCTCCAGTCTAGGAAGGGAAGCACAAGTTCTCCCTGGGATCCAGGCAGCACAGGTTTGAAAATAGCCTGGTGGGTGGGTGAAGGAAGGCCATGGACTCTTGTACGTTGTTGATGTGCTTGAAGATGATGGTGTCAGACTTCTGGTGTTTACAACGAGGTCTTGAGCCTTATTGATGCATTTGGAACAGCAACAAAGGACAGCGTGAAACCTGAAATTAGAAGTGTTGGCCGGGTGTGGTGGCGCACACCTGTAATCCCAGCACTTTGGGAGGCCGAGATGGGAGGTTCAGCTGAGGTCAGGAGTTTGAGACCAGCCTGGCCAACATGGTGAAACCCCGTCTCTACTAAAAATACAAAAATTAACTGGTTGTGGTGGCACATGCCTATAATCCCAGCTTCTCAGGAGGCTGAGGCAGGAGAATAGCTTGAACCCAGAAGGTGGAGGTTGCAATGAGCCAAGATTGCACCACTGCACTCCAGCCTGGGTGACAGAGCAAAACTCCATCTCAAAACAAAAAAAAAGTGTTGGCCAGTTGTGGTGGCTCTCACCTATAATCCAGCACTCTGAAGTCAGCCTGGCCAACATGGTGAAACCCCATCTCTATTAAAAATGCAAAAATACAAAACATTTCCCAGCTTCTCAGGAGGCTGAAGCAGGAGAGTAGCTTGAACCTGGGAGACAGGTTGCAGTGAGTTGAGATCATGCCATTGCACTCCAGCCTGGGCAACAAGAGCGAAACTCAGTCTCAAAACGAAAAGAAAAAAGAAGAGAAAAAGTATTGCTTGGAAAGGAATGATTTCACATACTGAGGGTCTGTTCTGTAGTCTCTTCACTATAAATCTCTACTTGAATTGATGTGCTCTTTCTCATTCTGTCTTCCTGTCTTACACATACATGCACACACACACACACACACACACATACATGCGCGGCCAGGATTAAGGTAAGTTGAGTAAGACACTTGCTCTGGGCACAAAATTTAAGGAGATGCCAAAAAAAAAAAAAAAAAACCACAGTAATCAAAGTAAGTAATATTTTAATGCAATCTTTAAAAAATCAACATTAATGTTAAAAACCCACGATGCACAGAATATCATAACTTTAAACAGAGGCAGGATCTGATTTTTCCTTTGCTTTAATACCGTTCGTTGGTCACGGCCTGATACTGTAACTGATCCTGCCTTTATTTAAAATGCTGATGTTTTGTTTATTATGGATTTTCATGTTGATTATGATTTTGAAGATATCACATTAAAATGATGAAGGCAAAAATGATCTCTCTTGATTCCTGTGGCTTCTGGAGGCCCCTTCTGTTCTGAATGCCTCACTGGCCACCCCAGTCCTGGCCCTGCAGATACAGGAGTCAGTCAGACACATGCAGATACAGGAGTCAGTCAGACACATGCAGATACAGGAGTCAGTCACATGCAGATACAGGAGTCAGTCAGACACATGCAGATACAGGAGTCAGTCAGACACATGCAGATACAGGAGTCAGTCAGACACATGCAGATACAGGAGTCAGTCACATGCAGATACAGGAGTCAGTCAGACACATGCAGATACAGGAGTCAGTCACATGCAGATACAGGAGTTGGACACATGCAGATACAGGAGTCAGTCAGACACATGCAGATACAGGAGTCAGTCAGACACATGCAGATACAGGAGTCGGACACATGCAGATACAGGAGTTGGACACATGCAGATACAGGAGTCAGTCAGACACATGCAGATACAGGAGTCGGACACGTGCAGATACAGGAGTCAGTCAGACACGTGCAGATACAGGAGTCGGACACATGCAGATACAGGAGTCGGACACGTGCAGATACAGGAGTCAGTCAGACACGTGCAGATACAGGAGTCAGACACATGCAGATACAGGAGTCGGACACATGCAGATACAGGAGTCAGTCGGACATATGCAGATACAGGAGTCAGTCAGACACATGCAGATACAGGAGTCAGACACATGCAGATACAGGAGTCAGACACATGCAGATACAGGAGTCGGACACGTGCAGATACAGGAGTCAGTCAGACACATGCAGATACAGGAGTCAGACACATGCAGATACAGGAGTCGGACACATGCAGATACAGGAGTCGGACACGTGCAGATACAGGAGTCAGTCAGACACATGCAGATACAGGAGTCGGACACATGCAGATACAGGAGTCGGACACATGCAGATACAGGAGTCGGACACATGCAGATACAGGAGTCAGTCAGACACATGCAGATACAGGAGTCAGTCACATGCAGATACAGGAGTCAGACACATGCAGATACAGGAGTCGGACACATGCAGATACAGGAGTCAGACACATGCAGATACAGGAGTCAGACACATGCAGATACAGGAGTCGGACACATGCAGATACAGGAGTCAGTCGGACACATGCAGATACAGGAGTCAGTCACATGCAGATACAGGAGTCAGACACATGCAGATACAGGAGTCGGACACATGCAGATACAGGAGTCAGACACGTGCAGATACAGGAGTCAGACACATGCAGATACAGGAGTCGGACACATGCAGATACAGGAGTCAGTCGGACACATGCAGATATAGGAGTCAGTCGGACACATGCAGATACAGGAGTCAGTCAGACACATGCAGATACAGGAGTCAGTCAGACACATGCAGATACAGGGGTCGGACACATGCAGATACAGGAGTCGGACACGTGCAGATACAGGAGTCAGTCAGACACATGCAGATACAGGAGTCAGTCAGACACATGCAGATACAGGAGTCAGTCGGACACATGCAGATACAGGAGTCAGTCAGACACATGCAGATACAGGAGTCAGTCACATGCAGATACAGGAGTCAGTCGGACACATGCAGATACAGGAGTCAGTCGGACACATGCAGATATAGGAGTCAGTCAGACACATGCAGATACAGGAGTCGGACACATGCAGATACAGGAGTCAGTCAGACACATATGGACAGGCACAGGTAGACACACACACCCGCCCTCTCTACAGTTCACAGAAATGTATTTTCTTAGTGTAAACCATTATGCTAAAATGCCAAAATAATGATATTCTATCTTCTTCTCATGCCTGATGAGAGCTGCTTTGCATCGTAGTTCTCTCATGAGAGTTACTTTGACAGGGAATACGCATTATATCGCTTCTTTACCCCGATGGCGTCTTACCAGCTTATATACAAATTGTGCTTTTGGCTCTCAGGAAGGGATATCTGTTGATGTAAACATTTTTTAAGCCCTTCAATCCCAAACTCACCTTGTAGATGTTTCTACAGTAGAGGTCCCCTGGGGCCTCAGACCTAACAGGTCCCCAAACAAATTCAACATCTCCACTGTCCCAAGCCTCCAGCATATTTACATCTTTCGCCATTCACACAGTTAACCCAATCAGAAAACTGGGACCCTCATCAGCCCTTCCTGCTCCCTTTCCTTCATTAAGCCCTTTCCAATCTGCTTTTGTAGGAGCTTTTGATTTCTCCATCCGCTGTCACTGCCGGTTCAGGGGTTTTCTCTCTGCTCTTTTCCAAATGGGCTAGAGCCTTTTTACCCCACCCCTCCAGACCACCCATTGCAGTGCAGCTGAGGGACATCTTGACAAGCCGAGCTGAAGTGCCTGCTGGGTGGGTTGACTCCCTGTGCATGGTTGTCGGAGGGCTGCTGGGGTGTGTACTTGGACTGAATGTCTTTATGTGTCTGGCACTGGTTTAGTGCAGGGAACACACAGATGGCTCAGCTGACTTCATCCCCCACTGCCTTCCTCTATGCCACCTGCTGCAGCTGTGCGACATGCAGCATCGTCCTTTCTCGTCAGTGGTTCTCCTGGTGTTAGCCGCTCTCCACGTGGTACTCCATGGTTGAAATGTGTTTAGCTTTACTGCTGCTGAAGCTGGTCCATTTCCACGAGAACCTGTTTAGTTTGGTACGATTACAGGTTAACTTAGTTTTCAGAGAGTAGGAAGAAGACCTAGTAGGAAGAAAAGAGAAAAGGAGAGTGTTAGAAATGTGCCATGCAGAGGGATTTATCAAGGCTAGGACTAGATCTGGGATTTTCTCAGAGGCGACAGGAGACACCCATTCCAGAAGTCCCTAGACCTGAGAACAGAGTTGGAATGGGTGGAAGTTGAAGTCTAATTCTTCACATCAGGAAGCTGGAGATTTGCTAACCAAAGGGTGTCCCACATGAGGATAAAAGCCAGAATATGGGATCAGAAATTCAGAAACTGAGGGGATGAAAGAAACTGGTAGGAGACCAAGAGCGGCCTGAGAAAAGCACTAAGTGATTGCCCAGGTGGGATGTGGGAGGTGGTGTTAGCCAGCAGCTTGTTCCTGTCTGGGACAGGGTGCAGGTCAGCTATGTCCAAGGTCTGGGGATAGGATGTCTCAGATGTGTTGGGTCTGACCCCGTAAGGGCCCACGGGGTAGAGGGCTGGAAGGAGGGTGTGCAGTTGGGTCAGGCTGCAGATCTACCACCTATGTCCTTAGAACATCAGTTTTCTGAGACTCTTCTGTGAACCCGTCTTAAAACCACTATTGATAAAATATTATTGCCTGCTAAAAGGGCTCAGTAGCTTCTCAGGGAAAAAAGAGAGAATCTAAATGACTTGGTGTTGGCTCATTATGTGAATTCCCTAGAGGTGGATGGAAGAGAAACCGGGAACAGCAGTAATGCTGCTTTTCAGCACGTTTTGTTATTCTATAGACCAAGAACCAGATCTTATCTCCCCAAACGTATCTATGTATGTAGATACATACATACATACACACGTGTCTGTCGTATGTATTTCTACGTTTTGGATTAGTCACGGTAGATGGAGGAGGACGCAGTGTGGATTCTTAGCACCACGTTTAAACACCAGAGTTGTTTCCCTTCCATCTATCATTTTCAAAGCTTTGCTAAGTGCATGTCAGTGATCCACCGACGTCAGTCAGAACAGGCAAGGGTTTCACAGCTGGACTAGATAGACTGGGCACAGAGTGGCTGTGGACCTGAACTTCACCCTCCTTGGAGGTGGGGGAAGGAGCCTGGAGCCCTTGTCCCTCTGCACTAAGAAGCCTTAACCATTCATATGGACATGGGCAGCCATTTTGCCCTGGAGGAAATTGGGTCTCCATTCTCCTTGCATGGTTGGGAAGCTTCCTTAGGGGCTTCCAGGGAGTCATTTGGCAGGGGGCGAGGACCTGGTGAGGGATAAGGGAAGTGGCAGGACCTGCAGCCATACACTTAATGCTCTGTGAGAGGAGAGACTGTCCGTCTGGCTCAAAGTTACATCCTAGGGCCTAGCACAGCCCTTGGCACATAGTAGGTGCTCGGCAAATGCTTGTTGAATAAATGAGTGGGAACCGTTTATCAGCTTTGTGAACCCAGGCATATTTAATTACGTGAGGCTCAGTCTAATCACAGACAAGACAGGCGCATCAACACCTGCCCTAGCTTGATTACAGACTGTTGTCAGAAATTACTTTTTACCATGTACAAATGTAAGTCATTATAATTAGACTTCCTCTATAAAAGAAGCACACGGCTTTATGAAAACCATAAAAATGAAGCAGATGTCAGAGGGAAAAATTGTTCAAGACAGGATGATAAATCCTTGATTAGCCAGAGTTCTCAGAGGATGAGGTGTTCTAGCTAACTGAACTTCTGTTTAAGTACGAAGTAAACAGAAAGTCCTTTGTTTCAGTGCAGTTACCCTCCAATTCCTTGTGCTAAGAGAACAAACTGATCATAGCACCCCATTAACAGTGAAGGCTGCTGCTACATCTTTTGGCCATTGTTCTTGGCACCATTCCTTCTACGCCGTAAAAATCACTGACTGAGGACCAAGCGGAGACATGTTTCTGCCATCCTGTGGGCAGGCTTGGGCATAATCCCTTACGAGTATGAGAAACACAAGTGTTGAGGAAGATGGGGCCAGGCAGCAGAATCACCTGACTGTGAAGTCGCTCTTACACGATATTAGGGCAGTTCAGTACTCAAAGTCCAAAGAGCATCATTGCCATTCTGTTTTGGTTTTTAGTCAGCAAACATTTATTAGATACTATTTGTGAGGCATTGGTCTGGGTTCTGGGTTTATAGCTATGAAAATGGGCCGGGTGCGGTGGCTCACACCTGTAATCTCAGCAGTCTGGGAGGCCGAGGTGGGTGGATCACCCGAGGTCAGGAGTTAGAGACCAGCCTGGCCAACATGGTAAAAACCCCGTCTCTATTAAAAATACAAAAATTAGCTGGGTGTGGTGATGCATGCCTGTAATCCCAGCTACTCAGGAGGCTGAGGCAGGAGAATCACTTAAACCCAGGAGGCAGAGGTTGCAGTGAGCCAAGATCGTGACACTGCACTCCAGCCTGGGCGACAGAGCGAGACTCTCTCAAAAAATGACAAAACAAAACAAAACAAAAACCAGAGAATGAGGTGGTCCCTGCACTTTACAAATCAGCAAAATGCAAGGGAGATTTTTTCCTTGTCTTATTGCTCTGAGATCTAAGAGACATTTTTTTTCTTATTGCGCTGTGGTTAGTGAGATGTTGGGGCTGATCACAGGATGCCAGATAAGCACGGAAGCGTGTTCAGCTGGCCTCCTGGCAGGGAAGAGGTGACAAACCTGTCAGGTGTGGCCCACCTCTTAGGAGATAATGATACTCAGGTGGGCTAGGGTGTGGTGTTGGGTGACTGGCTAGATTTAGAGCCAGTTGCCCTGGGTTCTGGAGAAGGACTGTAAGCCCAGGAGTTAGTAGACTCAGGGTCAGGGAAGCCAAGGTGCACTCAGTAATCTCTAGATGAGGCTGGGGGCATGCTGATCAATCTGGCCAGACACGACACGTGGTGCCTGGGCCATCAGATACCAGCACCCTCAACTCCACTTAACATCATGTTTATTCATTCAGTCATTCCTTCAGTAACTTAAAACTTTAACTGTCTGCTCCCTCATCTGCGATTTGGGGCTGATAATGTAATAAACGTATACTGCGCCTGGCACATAGTTGGTACGTAATGAGTGGTAGCTGGAGACCTAACCTTTTCAACCTTTTAATTTTAAACTGTTTTTCTTCTTCTCTTCTTGAAGCTTTCATTCTTCACCTTCTTATGCTCCAAGGGAGATGTTCTGTTGTCTTATAGCCAGAATCTTTTTTTTTGCAGTACCACTATGTGGTACAATTTCTCTTTCTCATGTATAAGAAACCAGAGGGTAAGGAGGAGGAGGTGAGAGAACAATTGTGAGATTTGCCTGGTGACATGCTTTTGATAAGAATATGGAAGCTGAACTTAATTTCCATCTTAGAAATGATGTAAATGCCTGAATCTAGTATATTCTTAGTGAATTTCCTTCATTAGAAAAAGTATTTCAAAAGGATTCCCCAAATTGAAAAGAAGAAAAGTTTGCAAATGTATTTTTTAAAATCGTATTGACACCATGCTAGCTTTGGAGTGAAGGGGACACTTCCATTCTTATGGGAGAGTCTAGGGGACATTTTCTGTTTCTTGGCTTTCATATCCAAAGCCCCAATCTGCCTGCTGGCACCCCAGTCTTCCTTTGTGGAAATGCCCTTTCATGTGTGGGTTGACATGAGAGCAACTCCCAGACTTTGCCTCACATTGTTGGACCTGGGTGTCCAGATTCTTCCTCCCTACTGCTCATTGTCATGTTCAGTGGCCAAGCATGTGACCTAAAGGCCAAGAGTATCATCTTAGAGCCAGGCTCATGACTAAGGCCCATCAATCAAAAACCACTTCTGGGACTTTGACTCTTAAACAAATAAGACAATGGGAAGGAAGCACTGAGTGGGGTTCATTGCTGCTTGCTCGGAGTGCCAGGTCCATGGGGGTCCCATCCACACAACTCTCACTTCTGGCCCTCGGTGCTCCTTCAGTTCCTGCCATTGCCCAAACCCAGTCCTTCAGCACCCCTTCGATCCCATGAGCTGTCTTGATTCCTTTCTAATTTCTTTCTTTTCTGATAAATTTAGTAAGAATTGAACTACGGTAGCATCACTGTTTAAGTGCTACATTAGTGATAAGGAATGATCAGGTGGAGGGGTTAATCCTTTATCTTTCTTTCGAATATGTCTTAAAACAACTGTTCTTCAGCCCTCCTGGGGTGCATCAGCTCAGTGATGTGGCTGAAGAAGGTGAAGAAGTTCATCCTGTTTTAGGGTGTGAGTCAGTGAGTGCTGCTTAGGGAGAACTCAGGATCCCAGAGCCTTCTCTATCTTATCTCTTTCCTGAAGTTCTCTGCCTCTAAAAAGATAAAGGTTTCAGGCCATTAGTGTGGATCTTTGCCTTGCCTATTGACTTTTTAATTATTTCTTTTATCTTTGTCTGAAGAAGCTCTAAATAGAGCTTATTTAAGTACATACTTTAAAATAAGTGTAAAGTGCCAAGACACTGAGGTTTACAAAATGACCATCACTCATGTGACCCAAGCTGGTCTACAGATGGAGGTTATTATGAACATGCATTTGTGTTGAGTGAATCAGCCCACTGCAGAAGAGAGCGTAGGAGGAGGTCGCGGCAGAGGCGGAAATGTTGGTCAGTGTTTGCTCTTTAATGGTGCATGGCTGCCTCCCACTCCTAACCTTGTCACCCTTGGGTGGTGTTTCTGAGAATAAAATATAGCAATGTGTAAGTGAGACCGTGATGGGCTGGGTCTCAAATACAATTTTTCTGAGGTCTTTTTAGGTAAACAAAAGTTCTGGAATCAGAAGGAAAAAAATAATAATCAGGGTAAAGGACTTCCACATAAATAAATTCAACAGGATATTATTGATGCCGAACTCTGGGCCAGACACTCTGCCAAGCCCAGAGGGTATGGAGATGAAGAATGACCAGTTCTTGTCCTCAGGAGCGTAGAATCTGCTGTAACTTGCAAGTGTGGGTGAAGTTGATCTATGCTACATAATCACCTCAGACCAGAGGAGACGCAGGGCTGGAGGTGGCTCACACAGAAGCACTGGTAGTTCTGCCACCCCAGGCCTGGCATGCCTTCAATTCTGTCCGCAATGGATTGTCCACCACCCATAGAACCTGTAGGATCAGTCAACAGATTTGTGAGTAAAACAGACAAGAAGACAGAGTGAGAAAATAAATGCAGAGCAGAAAAGAGCCAGCTCTTAAGTAGGGAAAAATGAAAAGCAGAATCAAAGGTCAAAGATTCCAAAATGTCTGATCTCTGGACTGCTGCCATCTTGGTGACTTTTTTTTAAAAAAAAATCATCTATTACAAAATAAAAAGAATAAAGACAATGTAGTCTTTTACATCATAAAACACCTTTGGTAACCTTACACTGACATACGTACATCAGTCTAAAGTCACCAAAGCTCTTCTGTAAGAAGACCTCTAGTCATTTGGGCATTTGGTTTAGGAATGTCTTCTTCCTCATTTGAAACACGCGCTATTTCATGATAGCAAGGCACGCAGCTGGTGAAATCACAAAGTTGGCAACTCCACGAGAACCCCCACAATGCATTGTGCAAGTCTGCAAACTCTGCAAGTCGGGAACCACTGATTAAATGAGAAGTTGGGGCACAGTTCCTGCCACCTGAGGTGCTTCTGCTCTTCTGAAGACTGAGGCATTTTCTCAGGATGGAAGAAACAACCCTGGATTCTTCAAGTAGAAAATGAAGAGGAACTGGCAGGTGCGATTCTGAAACCAACTTCCTTCGCAGCCTGCAAGTGCGATCCATTCAGCCCATCAGAGATTCTAACTTCCGGGGAAGCCAGCCTGTGGTCAAAGGGTCAGACTAGAGTTGCTGCCTCAGAGTGGAGGCGCGGAGGAAAGGAATGAGTGAGTCAAGATGCCTCATTCCTTCCCACTGGAATTAGAAGGAATTCCTGTCTTCCTCAGCAACCTCCCCCACCATCCAGCTACAGGAAAGACTAGGGAACTGCTGCAACAGCCGGTGGGAAGAGCTGCCTTAACTGCCTGCAATGGAGTTAATATTAATTCTCATCTCAGGTAAGGAACCCTCAGTCAGTGAGCTCTCACCTCAACACTTCTTCCTGGAGGCTGCAGAGGCAAAGAGAGTTTTCCTTGGGTCACTGACAGGGGCCCTGAAGAAATGCTGTTGGCCTGAGGGAGCAGATTCATGGACCACCTCTCGCGGCACCGGAGAGGACTCATGCTGCCCTGTTCTTTCATCATAACCATAGGTTAAAAGCACCATACTGCCTTTCTCCACCAGAGAAAACTGTTGTACTAGGGTTGCCTTATTTATATCAATCAGTGCTACGGACTGATCATGTCTCTCTGCCCTCCCTTCCAATTCGTACATTGAGGTCCTTACCTCTGGTGTGACTCTATTTAGAGATAGGGCCTTTCCATAAATGGCCCTACTAATCCTGTGGAAGTCTCTGCCTCCTTCTCTCTGCCATGTGAGGATACAGTGAGAAGGCTACCATCTATAAGCCAGGGAGACAGCCCTCCCCAGAAACGGAATCAGCTGGCACCTTGATCTTGGTCTTCCCAGCCTCCAGATCTGTGAGAAACCAATTTTGGTTGTTTCAGGCACCCAGGCTCTGGTGTTTTGTTACAGCAGCCCAAGCAGACTAATGCAATCAGTGATTATCACGTGAATTGATATTTATTCTTCGGGAAAAAAAACTCACCCTGAGGAAGTGATTGAAGCCTCTCTAGGGGCTGCATTTACCATTCAGAAGGAGAAGGGCACTCTTCACATTTTTGCCTCTTTGCTAGGTATGATGCTAGTCATTTTACATGCACTAGAGATAGGAAGCCGTGGGTCAGAGGGGTTATGGAACTTGCCCAAGGTCACAGAGCCGGTAATGGAAGGTTCTGACCTTCCAGGTTTGCGGGGCACGGAAGCCAGGCTCTCCCTGTTTGCCCTGCCTCTTGCACCATCTGAGCCTGCATCTGACTGAGCTCTTCTCACCTTTCTTGTCTAAGCTCCTGCTTTTACTGTAGAGATTGCCATCTCCTAATAAACTCGTGAAGGTTCTTTTGAAGGTTCACTAAGATCCATTGTTTATGTGATCCCAATTTTACAAGAGTAAAGAAAAACCAAAAGAAAATAAGTATTAAATAGAGCATATGGTGCCTTAAAAACGCTGTTAGCAGATGGCAATTGTGGTTATTTCTCAATAGTACAATAACTCATTTTACTTTGTATTTTTTTTTTTACCTTTTTTGACACTGTTATTTTACACTCTGGACTTCTGTGATCATAAAAACCATTCTCCATAATGAAAAGCAAGATGCCCTGTCCCTGTCCTGCGGTGTTTGTGTACCACGCCACAGCACAGGAGGGTTGGATGGCTCCTCGTCTGAGAGCCTGAGTACCAAGGTCAGGGTGCCAGAGACCCACAGAAGAGAATGGCGGGAGCTGGCCCCAGAAAGTCCCATGACAGAGGGGTGGGGGCAAGGAGGAGTTGCTGTTACTGGTTCAGTTCCAAACCTGATTGGGAAAACATGACAATGGTGACCATCGGGAGCCTCAGTGACTGGAGATCAGGTGGGAGGTGATCTGTGGTCAGGGCAGCTGTGCCTGTGATTCCAGCTCAGACAGCACCTTCTTGGGTGCCCCCACCTTTTCTCTGTGCTGAGACATGGGAGAAAGAACCACACCTCCTTGTGACCTCCAGATGACTCAGTGACTTAAGTGCTGTGGTCACCATGACAATTCCACATCATGGAATGTCCTGCAGAAGCCAGCCGGGCTCTGTGCAGGTTGCCTCTATCAGATAGCAAAGGAGTGAAAGCCAAGTTCCCTGTTTGTGCTCGAGAGAGTGTGTGGCCAAGATGGGTGAAATTCTCCATGATTTTCTTGGCAACAATTAGCTGTTTTTCCCCTCTTAGATCTTCTGAAGTGTCACTTTTGGCAAAGGTGCATGAGAGAAATATTATATGTTGAGGAAAAGGAAACAGGAGGGTTCCTACTGCCCCTGGGTTTATAATGAAAAGCTGTGAACAGTCGGGAGCTAGGGTTTCTTTAAAGAAAGCCTGGTGAATGAAAGCTTCTTTGAAGTCCTAGAATATTCTGGACAGGATCTTGCTAATTAGGAAGTGAAAGGCCTATTGTGTTTTCTCCTGGGAAATTTTGGAGGCAGGCTGTGACCTGAGAAAGGACGGTACTTCTAGAAGCAATCACAGCCTTACCAAGTCAAGGCACTCTCGTCAGTTACTTGCTGATGTTGGAGGAGCGTTGTGAGGGAATGACATGTTTTGTGAAGAGTAGGATATTCTCCATCCATTGGTCTACTTTTGACATTAGTTTCTTTGTGATTCTTAGAAGGCAGTGTCCCTGTTCTGTTTGTCTGTTTGCTCCTTCAACTGCAAGTATTGCTCGTCCATGATGTGAACCACTCTGTGCTACATACTGAGGGCACACACACACACACACACACACACCCCGCCTCATACATATGTATGGCTATATTAAACATACATTTGGTACATAAACTATAGATATGTATAGAGTAATGGGCTGAGTGGAGGCCACCACAATATGCCTAGTTTAGATGGTGGCATCTCTGAGAAATCATTCCCAGCCTCTTTCTCCACACGCAAACTTAGAACCCAGAACCTAGAAAGTGAATCCTTCCAGTCACCTTAGCTGATGTTCTTAGTACTCTCCCATGGCCCCATTTCCTTCTTATCTCAGGGTCCCTAGCCCAAACGACGGTCCCCCAGAGAAATGCACCTGTGTTTCTCTGACCTTTGCTGCTACTTTGTAGGCCAAAAGTACAGGGGAATTATGCTTCTCATGAATAACACTCAACAAAAAAATGAAAGGGTATTGGTGCATAAATACCCCAGCTCCCCTGCCCTTGTGCGGAATGCTTTCTACCCCAGGGTGTGCTCTACGCTAACTCCCAGAGATCCACAGCAGGACTAAGTTTTAGATTCCCAGTGGCAGCTTGCTTGATGATGAACTCTTACCGTGGCTGCCCTTCCTCCCTGCCTCACTTTCCCACTCTCCTACCAGTGTAGGTGGCCACCCAAAAGATATATCCATGACCTCATTGCCAGAACCTCTGAATGTGATCTTAATTGGAAAACGATTCTTTGCTTATGTAATTAAGTTAGGGATCTTGAGGTGAAATCATCCTTGGTCAAATCAGCACAAGTGTCCTTACCGGAGACACGCAGAGAAGACAGACACAGAAAAGAAGACAGTGTGACCACGTGACGGAGATTGTGAAGTAAAGGCATGCTTGCCTCGTGGGCTACCAGAAGCTGGCAGACGCAAAGAACAGGTTCTCTCCTAGAGCCTCCAGAGGGCATGTGGCTCTGCAAACACTGATCTTGGACTTCCAGTCTCCAGAAGAGTGAGGAAATAATTTTTTGTTGTTTTAAACTAGCCAGTTTGCAGTACAGTAACTGCTTGTGGCAGCCACAGGAGATGAATGCCACAAATACACACACACACACACACACACACACACACACACACACACACATACATATGTTATATATATGAGGGCACGAGGCAGACAAAAAAGTGCCTGCTCTCATGGGACAATGAAACATCACAGTTCACAGGCACCAAACACTAACTGAAATAAAGAGCAGTGATGGTTTTCATAGAGGAAGAATAGGGAACTTGTGGGAACGTAAGGGGGAGCTTTACTCTTAAGTCAGGCAAGGCTTCCCCAAGGAGAGGGAAGGACAGTAAGAAACTGAAACTCGAAGGACAGTAAGAGAATCTGCCACGTATTGAGCATGTGCTTTGCAGCGCATGATGTGCTCAGTGCTGTGCATAAGTTATCTCATTTAAATCCTTTAAGGTAGGCACAACTCTTTTATCCATGTCACAGAGAGGGAAATGAAGACTTGGAGACCAGGAGAATGAATTATTCAAAATTGCACACCTAGCGAGGGTTAGGGCTGGAATCCAATCCCAGGTGCTCTGACTGGAGCCTTGGCATTTCATCATTATTCCCCACTTCCCTTTACTCTGTGGGACAATGAAGAAGAGGATTGAGGCTGGCTTTCTAAGCAGAAGCAGTGAGCAGAGGCCTTGGTAAATGTGATACGTACAAGAACTACTTTTTGTGTAACAAATGACTCAATCAAAGTTCAGCTCTTATTTTGGACAAGGAGAACATGTAGCAGAAGGACTGATCTCTTTCACAAATGATGTCTTGGTCTGTGTCCCTCCAGAAGCAGATACTAAGTTACGGACATTAATGGAGGTGCTCCCAGGAAACACTGGTAGGAGAGTGGGAAAGTGAGGCAGGGAGGAAGGGCAGCCACAGTAAGAGTTCACCATCAAGCAAGCTACCACTAGGAAACTAAAACTTGGTCCTGCTGTGGATCTCTTGGAGCCAGCGTAGAGCACACCCTGGGGTAGAAAGCATTCCACACAAGGGCAAGGGAGCTGGGGTATTTATGTACCAATACCCATTCATTTTTTGTTGAGGGTTATTCATGGGGAGAATAACTCCCTTGTACTTTTGGCCTACAAAGTAGCAGCAAAGGCCTTCAGACAGAGGAACACAGGTGCATTTCTCTGGGGGACTGTCATTTGGGCTAGGGACCCTGAGATAAGAAGGAAATGGGGCCATGGGAGAGTACTAAGAACATCAGCTAAGGTGGTTGGGAGGATTCTCTTTCTAGGTTCTGGGTTCTAAGTTCGCGTGTGGAGAAAGAGGCTGGGAATGATTTCCCAGAGATGTGGCCATCTCAACTAGGCATATTGTCACTGAGGAGTCTGAGTCTCCCAGCTCAAACCTAAATTCAGTCAAATGCCCTGCAACAATGGGTAGCTAGATCAATTCCATGTTTCCTTCTTTCTTCTCTCCTATATTGCTGAGTTATGTTTACTGTGGTTGGAACACTGCCTCCATTTCAGGTGAAATATTATAGAGAAATAGACAACCGTGTTAGGGGTTCATATGGTTTGGCTGTGTCCCCACCCAAATCTCATCTTAAATTCCCACATGTTGTTGGAGGGACCTAGTGGGAGGTAATTGAGTCACGGGGGCAGGTCTTTCCTGTGCTGTTTTCATGATGGTGAATAAATCTCACGAGATCTGACGGTACTATAAGGGGGAGTTTCCCCACCCAATCTCTCTCCTTGCCTGCCACTATTCACGTAAGATGTGACTTGCTCCTCCTTGCTTTCCACCATGATTGTGAGGCTTCCCCAGTCACGTGGAACTGTAAGTCCAATTAAACTTCTTTCTTGTGTAAATTGAACAGTCTCAGGTATATCAGCAGCATGAAAATGGCGGTGGAGGTGGATGGGCCACGAGCTAGAGAAACAGAAAAGGGGAGGAACCCTACACAGACTCCCACACCCTGTGATACGAGTTTAGCATCAGGGAAAACAAAATCTTTCCTTGTTCCCTTTCTTTGGAGCATGGGGGATGAGCGGGAGCTGAAGCCAAGCATCTCTTGCATATCTCAAGTTCAGTGAGAGAAGAACTTTTGGACCCTGCATACCTTTTAAAAGCAGTTACCTTGGCCTTAGTAAAATTGAATGTGAACGTGGGTCCTCTTTGTGCAGAGAGTTGTTACCAAATCCTTCCAGAGGAGAACAAGCACATGATGAGATTTTGAACAGAGGGAAATGGATCTCTCTGCTCTCTCATGCTGGTGGCAGAGGTCTCTTTCTCAAGGAAATGGGGCCTCCAAGAAATTAACTCTTTGAGGAAGGAAGGAGAGAAATATTTTCTTTACCAATCCAAGAACGCTCAATATCCACAGAAAGAGGGTCATTTTCACCGGCCTCTGAGGAATTTCCAGATGGGGAGGTGTAACAACATCTCTGTAATCCCAAGGATAAAATGAAAGAAATCCAAATGTTTGGCAGAAGTAACTACAGTGAGCAGCTTCAGAGTTGGTTCTTAAATTGGGGGCCAGGGCTCCTAGGGAGGTGTTGAGGTTGAAGCTCTCAGAATGCAAAGGGAGTAGCAAGTCTGACGCAAACAGTCCTGGCCGGGAAACAAAGGGTATGGGGAAACGGAAGATGACAGGTGCTCACTGGAAGAACTGGGGAATCGAGATGGCCGGGTGCGATGGCTCACATCTGTAATCCCAGCACTTTGGAATGCTGAGGCAGATGAATCACTTGAGGTCAGGAGTTTGAGACCAGGCTGACCAACATGGTAAAACCCCATCTCTACTGAAAATACAAAATTAGCTGTACGTGGTGGCACACACCTGTAATCCCAGCTACTTGGAAGGCTGAGGCAGGAGAATCATTTAAACCCAGGAGGCAGAGATTGCAGTGAGCTGAGATTGTGCCATTTGTACTCCAGCCTGGGCAAGAAGAGTGAAACTCTGTCTCAAAAAAACTCAGAAAACAGAAAACCGCTAGAGAGGTGCTGCTCTCACCTGGTGAGCAAATGAGGTGTCCAGCACTTTAAAGTCTATGCTTTATAGAGCATATAAATAATTATAAAGTTCTATAAGGTTAATAGAAAATTTGAGGTATGGTAACAGCAGCACAGCAGTAGATGACTGCTCTTGAAAAGAAGTAGTGCTACTCACAGATCTCAAGCGAAGGGGGATGCCGTGTCATAGTGGGTGCACAGGTCAGTCAGGAGGCAGAAGTGGGGGAGTGCTGGGGACAGAGGACTTCACTGTGTTTCTGTGAAAAGGAACAGGCAAGGCAGGGT